AGTAAACATGTTCCAGGCTTTCTGGACAACAGAGTTTAAGGGTACTACAGGAGTTTGACTGTTTGTAAGTAATGTCGCAGATTTTTCATAATGGTTGAAAGGCCTATGGTGGCACCACACTGTATTGGCCCAAGTCTGTGGTACCCAGCTTGCATGAAGCCTTGTATCATTAAATGAAGACAGATCTGCCTTGTGAACATCCACTCCTCGCAAAACCAAAAGGTTGGCAATAGATTTGTTCAATCTATTCCTCAATCTTGGCAGTTGTCCAGGTCTTTGGTGAAAATCTGCACCGTCTGGGTTTGACGGCACAGGCAACTTGACTTCCCAGTCAATGCCTGCAGGGGAGATTTATAAAGTGCAGATATTTAAAGAAAATGCTGGGAACATTAACAGTGGTGTCTCCCCTGGCCTTTTTTCTCTAACTTTTTGTTTAACCTTCATTTAAAGGTATTCATCATCCTGGATCTAAGGAGGGAAATGTTTACCCTAGTGACTGAAGTGATAGATGACATATTTTAGCAGGTGACACCAGCTTACTCAACTCTACAAAAAAAATTCCAAGTGTAACTATCAGGAGTTAAACTTCTGATTTCCAAGTTCTTGAAATACTCATCAGATAGATTTTCAACTAATTTTAGTTTTGATACGGTAACGCTAAAAATACCTTTTTCTTCTAAGTAAGCCTATTTCATCCATGGAAAAACATTGTCTTCCCAATTTCATCTTTTGCATTAAAATAATTATGTACATGTATCTTCAGCTCACTGAGACACACTGCCATCAAAAATGCATGTTGAGAAAGATGTTTTCTCTGTCTTGTTGTGGGCTTTGAACAAAGAAAATAGAAAAAAAAAAATCTTCTCCTTTGTCAGTGCTGAGCTCAAAATTTACTCTCTAGCTCACTTTAGATCATCTGTAGCTCAGAAGTAGAGCATTAGAACATGGCAGAAAGTCTGGGGTTTGATTTCTCTTGGGGACTCAGAATATTTTCATAGTCCTATGCTCATAAAAAGACCTAAAAAACATCTTCATCAACTTTACCTAGCTCACAATTTAATATCTTTCTCATTTGATATACACGTTGTAGGTTAAAATGATTTCAGTCTACATGTAAATTCATTCCCATCATAATTTGTTTGAGAATCAAGAAAACTTATTTAAAGACTAGTAAAAAATAATTTTGACCAAAAGTCATTTCAAACTACAACATACATGTCAAGTGTTTGTTTGTTTGTTTTTACAACTACAGAACAACAAATATAACACAGATTTAATTCCATACCTTCCTCCATGCTAGCATCAGCTATCAGCATCTGTCGTAGGTGCTTTAGGAGTCCAGGCCACGTGTAAGTGCTGTAAGCTAAAGAGTTTTCAGCCATTTGTGGAATGTTCTTCAAAGTCATCAACTTATATTCTGGATGTGGACAAACTTGCTCAATCAGATCACCAAGTAGATTTCTGACTGAGACAGCTCTTTTGTAAAAAACAGGTTCTTGGTTGGGAGAAAACAGTTTTACTGGCTGAAGGACACTGGCAAGTTTATGAGAAATCACTCTGTTGATATCCTTGAAAGATATATGTTTTAAATTCATCAACCTGGAGCATATACTCTGTAATTTATCATTTTCCAGGATAATTATTCCATCCGAGCACTTATACAAGTGAGATAAAGTTAAGATAGCATTGTAGTTTTGAACAATCACCTCACCCGTACCATAAGGCCAAACAACTTGATTCAATATGAACGAATGGGGAAACTCTTCACGAAGACAACCTGTAACATATGCCCCTACACCTGAGCCTGTTCCACCGGCCAAGCTGAGAAAAATCAAAAATCCACCGAATCTGTCGCACTTTTCCACCTCTTTCTGCACCATTTCAAGCACAGTGTCTGAGGATTTTGGTCCATGCTCCAGGAATCCATGGGCCCAGTTGTTCCCAGATCCACGTTTTTGACAAAATTGCTGTCCCAAAGGATATGTCCACTTTCCTGAGTTCTTAGCCTCTAGAAGGGTTTGAGATATCGCTTTCGATTCCATATCGATCATAACAGCCCGTGCATTGGTTGCTCCTGTTCTGTCTCGTGAAAAGAATCTTTCCAGTACTTCTTCCTCGTATTCGTGGTTGACTTTATGATCGACATTTTTCGAAATAAACTGGGGATTTAGTTTTGATGCTTCATCTATTAACGTGTTAAATAGTTCTCCGCCTATCTGATTGCCACATTGCCCTAGCTGCAGCGAAACAACGGACATTTTGAACGTTCACCAAGTTGTCGGATACTTATCCACCATGTTGGATCTTTGAGTTGCGGGAGCCTGGGTACCTCTAAGAGATGGCCTCTCGGACGCATACATTATGTAATCATAACAAACGACAAAGGTGTAATGACAGAGCCCAGATCGCGCGCGCAAATCTTCACTTCAAATGAGGAAACGCTAACAAATTTGCGTCATCTGCTCATGACTATTACGTCACAATTGATAAAACCATTTTTACTTCCAGATTATCGCGATAGTGTCGAACGGATTTACTGTAACTGATTGTTCATTACGAGCAAGAAAACCAGGAAAGTGTCTGAATAAGGAAACTTGTTTCACTTGCATCTCAGGCAAGCGTGGGCAACACAATTTCTTCCATTACTTCATTCCAGGAGTTAAAGTGCAAGACACAAAGTCCGTTGATGTTCATGCTTCATCAAAATCAACGTTAAATCTGTCTATAGAAGGGTATGGAGTGCCCGCACTGTTGTTCAGTAAGAATAGTTACTTGTCAGTGTTTTGGGGTCTTAGCCACATATCAGTGGCTTGCCAACGAGTGATCTTTCTTCACTTCCTCTGATGGGTGTGGTGAGCTGCAGGCAAAGTGTGGACCCACGGTATGTAAATAACGACGTCGACCCGATTGATTACCTGCATATTCTAGTCAACCTCGCTATTAGGGCCATTTCCGCCCTGACATTAGAGAGGGAATGTACCGTTGGTACGAAGACGAATGAATTAAATTAACTTAGACAGAAAAAAAGAGTGTTCTTCACGACCACGGCATTCCCGAAAAGGTAACTCGGTGCGATCTAATCACTAAAGTAAGGAAAAAAAGAAAGAAAGAAAGAAAAACGGTTTTTTGTAGTTTCACATTACTCAGTCACCTTTGAGGAGAGAGGGTCATCAGAACTTAAAATTTGTGTCTGCCTATTTATTCCAAAGTTGCACTTTAAATAATTTGCTTATTTATACTAAAAATAAAAGTTAAGTTGGGAAAATTTTGCTGATGTAAACCCATCAAGTCCTAAGGGGCTAGTGTCTATTAGAGAGAAAGCCTCATTATAGCAGGGATGTGGATAAACACAATACTGGAGTTTTTGTTTACAGGAAGTGCTTCTTTTTCAAAGGGGAAGGGGGTGTTTCAAGGAGGCTTTGGGCTCAAGACAGGGACATGACAAGGAGGGGAATTTCAAAGAGATATTGGCAGGTGGTTTATTAGAGTGAGGTGTTCACCAGCAAAGACCTCCTGGTACAGCTCAGCCGATGCGGGCTTTGATGCAGACAGCATGCGTAACAAATCAAAGTTCTTAATAACAAAACAAGAGAAGCAGAATAATGAGTTTACTGCAGCAAAAACTATATACATTTGGTAATTTATAAAGCAACCTAACTGAAAATATTTTTGTACACTTGTTTTCTTGAAATTCTTGCATATTCAAATGTAGAAATTCCAATGGTTCATTTAAAGCTTGATTTGAATGTAGCCTAAATACAGTATGCATTAATCTTGGAGACTGGACCATGTTAAAAACAGCAAAAGGTAATTCTGAACATAGACCCATCTGAATAATCATTATTAGAGTAAATACTATGTTCAAATATGGAAAATGAACTAAACCTTTGGCTGAAATGTTCTTATTATTGAATTGCGGCTTGCAAATTAGTCCTATGTGAAATCATATTGATTTGGGATAGATATGGGTTATGAGCTTGTCTGAAACTGAAGACCATTTGGTGAGAGTCATACCATTTCCATATTCCCAAAACTTACAACTCAAATTTCAAAGGTGTTGTTACTCAGTATGAATTGAAACTAATTATTAAACATGCTTCCCACATTAGCATACTGTAATGGTATCAAATGGTTGCCTAGGATTATTAGCAGGAAAAAAGGACAAAAATATTTTGTGAACATTTAGTGTGCCATACAAGATAACACTTCTTAACACAGCCAAATTAGAAGCACTTCATTTCAGTAATCGAAGAAACACTCTGATATCAAACAGATTTTAACATAATGGCTGGTGCCTCTGTCACTTGAATTTTTCATAAGATGACTGCAATAAAATTAAGTATATAAACAATATATGTGCAACTAGCATCTTACATGATCGTTAGCCAATTTATTTCATTTCACATTTATAAAATGTGATAAAGCTACATTCAAAATGTGGAAACCATTTAGTCTATAACACTTGCTGTGATTATACACAAGAATTCCCAAAAGGTATGTGATCACAGTGAAAAGAATATCTGCAAGTTATCAAGTGCAAACTGTTACATGAAGTTTCCCCTCACAATTAAAAAAAAAACACTCACATAGAACCAAAGCCAACTCTTTTGTACTATCTCTGTTTTCCTTAATTTTCTGAAGTATCATAATAGTTAATTTTGAAAATCAATACAGAGGACAAAAAGGCTGTGAACAGGACCTCTTCATAAGAAGGGTGTATGGCTGAGCTTCATGGTCAGAATCTGAGAAGCAAGGTTTCAGTACAAACAGCTGAGTTTGATGATTTGAAAACTGCAAATTCCAGAATATAGGTCTATCATTTCATACTGCTTCACTTGCGGTTGCCACAATTTTTCCTCTGTAAAGAAGAGACTAGACACTAGACTAGAGACTAGACTTAACATCTCAATGACTTTGCTAACTGCTTTCCCTAGAGATCCTCCTCATAAACCAAGAAATTTATGGCAAGGATTAAAACTTGTGGCCAATATGGCTACATATGTCAACACAGAACGTCCGTGTCACACAAAGGCATAGTTAGTATCTTAAGTATCTAGTTCTAACCCAAAATCCTTATCATTTGGTTTTGTTTAGTTTCCTGTAGCGATCTAACCAATCATCAATCAGTTGGTTGACAAGTGCAGGTCTTGGTGTCAGCTTCTGCTTTGCCACTAGGACCCCACCTTCTGTCACACAACAGTCTAGCCACTCATGCAACAGGCGCTCTTCACTACCCCTCTGAAAGTGTAAAGACAAGGATTACATGATATATTTTAATAACCTTAAACCTTAGATCCAAAGGATAGACTAATATCTAATTTCTCCTTACAATATCAACCTTGAATCACACATAAAGGTCACAAGAATAAAGGAAATGATCACCAACTTAGGAAGATATGATTGTTGGACAAATTCTTCTCGTCAGCAGCTTAGGAAAGGTATGGAGAGCAGTATGGAGAATTTGGATACAGTTGTTAAGTTGTAAAGGGTCAAAAACCCCAGTAAACAATCATCATTGCTGTAATTACAACAGAAAATGCTCTACTGTGATACTCTCTTCATGCTTAAAAACACTGGGATAAGCTACAACAGCAAAGTAGGTAAATCTTTCAGAAGGGCTTGATCTTCTTTACATAATCCAGATGAAGCATCTAAAAAATCCTTGTAATGAGGAAATACCAACCTCCTCTGCAGACAAAAAGTGAACTGGTAGCAATTTGCCCTCATAGTCAACCAGAGGTAAATAGGTCACATGAACACTGTCTATACTATCCACATTGGCTCCTGCACCAAGTTCATTAGAGTTATCAGTTTCCATTGCCACCAAAGCAGAGAAATGTCCCCTTGTATAGCCTAATACTAATGGATTCTTCCAACAGAAAGTCTGTTCCCATAAAACAGGTAGATAGACTCCTAAAACAAACAATAGAGGTAACATCCTTTATAAAATGACAAAAATACTAAGGGATAATATATCCAAAGGTATCTGGTGAGCCATTTTCAAAGTAATATTAAAAAATCAAAGGTTTTGTCAATAACAATCATTGTTAATCCACTGAAAAGAACCATCATAAGTACACTTTCTTTTTATCATATGTTGACTATGCTGCACAATTTTGAAAGATTTTACTGAAAATGGACATTATCAAAGGACAGACAGTAAGATGCAATCAAACTTTTGACTCCTAAGAGTTACTAACATCTAATTCATCCTTACAATACCAACCCAATATCAAACAATAAGGTCATGAGAATAAAGGAAAGGATAAGCAAATAAGGAAGTTCTTGATTGTTAAAAAAAAAGTCTCCTTGCCGGTACCTTAGGAAATGTTTAGAAAATAGTAGGTATTACAGTCTATGCATGCTGATGTTAAGTTGTGTTGGGTTAAGGCATGATAAACCAAGTGAAAAGTACCTTGAAACCTAGCAAGCCCAAGCACCTCTCCTCTGAAACTCTTGACATATTTCACACCATAAATGATAACAGGTCGGCGTAGAATGTGTGCCAGAGCGAATACATGTGACTGCTCTAAGGAAGTTCCAGGCTGACCAGCAAGACTAAGAATGGAGGCCCAGTCCTGTTCCCATTGATCTTCATCTAGAGAATATTGAAGAGTTTCTGCTTGCATAGATTCCCACTCCTTGTACCTACTGAAAAACCTGGAAGAAAAAACACCACCCAAGAAATTTCAAAATCAGTGGAACTTCTCCCTTGAGACAGTTTTCATCAAACACCTCCATTCAATAAACAAAAAAACTGCATCCATGTTTATCCAAATGACAGCTACCAGTAAGACCCTGAAGCTGGCCAAAATCACAGGATAGTCTGCAATCTTCAGCTGGCTACCTTCACCTCATTTTAGTAAAATTGCTAAAGAAAAATTACACAACTATCTGAGAAATTTGCACAGCATCCATTTCCAAGTTTTGAGATGAAATTGACCATAATTTACAGGTAATGGGTTTCAATGGGTGAATGAATTATAAGTTTGAATGAAAAGATGTTAAAACTTCGCCCAAAATTATGACATCTCCCTTACCTTGAGCCTCCTTCTGTTAAGCTGTCATAAAGTGCTCGTCTTAGAGTATTATCTCTGTCAAAGACACCATACGAAGCTTGAAGAACAGAGTCTAGAAGGCAGTCACCAGCAGAACGATTCCATAAGGGGTAGATCCTACTTCCTAACTGTTCAGTAATCTCTTCACTCCAGTTGATAACAGGAGATTCCATCTCTAGAACTGACGGGGAAATGGACCAAATATTGAGAAGAGGAGACAAATTGGATAACTTTTGGATTGAAATATAACCAAACTGAACATTGGATGGAGAGAGCAAAGTCCTTGTGTTCTTGGGCAAGACTCTCCCACACAGTTTGATCAGCGAATAACAGCAAACAATCAGCATCACTTATCACATTATAATGAAAATTAATAACATCAGCTTCAGTTAAAATGCTGAAAAACACAATTTCTTATTCAAAACATTCATAATGGAAGGATACCAAGTACTGTGGATAAATTTAAGAATGGTTGGCAGTACCAATAATACCAGGAGAAATCTGATATCAATTCTGATAACCATAAGATGACTTTTCATCTTACCTCTTTGAACTTCCCTATCTAAGATGTCATCAAACACTTGCCTCTGTACTCTTCCTGGAAAGTCTTGAACCTCTGAAACAAGTTAATATTGTGATATAATCTACAATGATGTGAAAACCCAAAAACAAAGCAAAACCTCCTTGACTTTTTGGCATTGGCAATAATGATGACAAGTAATGAAAATATTCAAACTTATCAGGTAGAAGTTGTTATCTTGATCTAAAAGCAAATTCTTGTTACTGATTTGCAAGGAATTGTGTGGCAGTTAGAAGGGAGATTAAACAATCAGATCTTGAGAGTTGAAGGGTTTATTTTGTGACTATGGAAACCACAGAAAGTAAAGATAAAGAGGAAGGGTGCAAGTCACCAGAGGTTAAATCTTTGGGGTTGAATGCCTGAAAGCTATTGTCTTAGAGAGGTTCATAGGTTGCCATGTTTTCTTTTCGAACAAAAATTCTTCTTCTGTGTGAAAAGCTTTAATTTTAACCCATTATCTCCCTTGATCTGACTGTTAATTCTCCTTTCCAGCTAATAGATATCTCATACTAAATTAGGCGGGATTGTTAGGTTCTTTTCAAGATGCACATCCTCAGGCTAACAGGTCTTCTTATTTTCATGCATTAAAATTGTAAAGAAAAGTTGGATATGTTATAGAAAATGTTGTTACTTGTGGTATTGTACATAAAAGAATCATTTCATTGTTTGTCTTACAATGTACATGAATTGTACTGATTGTAATGTTTTGACTGCTATACTACTAATCTTTATCAGGTGACAGGGTGGGTAGAGATTTAACATGTTGCTATTTATAACACTAGAGATATTCATCATGTCTGAGAGTTGAAGAGTTAAAAAGCTGATAGTCCAGTTTACAAGGTGTTCAAAATTACAATAATTTTGGTTAAAATTCTCACCTGCTGGTAGAACAAATGTAACCTGATCAGTGAAGAAGTAACAACGCCAATCTCCTTTACGTTGCCTCATGGTGTGACCCATCTGTTTCCTAATGTCTGCAGCAAGTTCAGGGCATGCAATGCAGGGGACACGTCTTAAGTGATGGCTTGTCACTTCTGGAGTGAGCAAAATTGTCATGAGCTCCTCTCTTTTAAATTTAAAGGCCAAATGTACTAATGTGTGCCCCACTTCAAACACTCCAGGTCGGTTTAGCACCAGACAATCTTCTCTTGTCAATTGTCTGGAAAGATCGTTACCCGAGTTTAAATAGCTCTCCACAGAAGCCGTATCACCTTCAACAACGCCTATACAAGCACTCAACCACAGCCAGTCAGAGTCCTTTAAACAATTTCGGATTTGGAGAACTTCTTCATTATCATTAACATCATCCGAGGCTGGAATATCATAAATTATCGTTTCGCCAATCTGACTGCTTGGCTGGATTTCTAAAGTGGCTTCACTGACAGATGAAGTAGGCGATCTCTTTTTCGACGTGGATGGTCTTTTTGGGTTATTGTCTAGCAGCGTGTTCTTTGCAACTTCTTCTTGTTTTATTTTGGCCGGTTTCAAACACTTGCAAAGGACGCACTTCGTAGTTTTTGGCCAGTTCTCGTACGTACACTGCGGACAAGTCCACTTGTGAATTTTCAACAGCGCGCGGTTTTTGTCATTGTTGATTGTTTTGGAGTCTAACCTACCATTGTTACCAACAGAACGAGGTGACTTCGGAGACACACTTTTCGACGAAGCATCCCTGTTTCCATTTCCAGACTCTGTGTACCTTCCGTTCTTGCCTGATTTTTGTTTTGAAGCTCGGCACATCACGCAGTGAAGGGACCTAGGCCAATTTTCGTACGTACAACAAGCACAGGTCCATTTCGAGTTGTCTTCTGTCTGTTCGGTTAGTCGTGGTGACAAGCTTTTGTTGTCGCTCGACGAGCAAATTATCGGGTCAGTTGAGATTATCCTGTCGCTGCTAGCAGCCTCGTAAATATCCTCTGATACATTTGTTGTTCTGCTTGCTTCTTGCGTGATAACTCGAGGCGGTCTTGGTGCACGGCACAAAGTGCATTTTACAGAACAGGGCCAATTAAAGTACGTGCAATACTTGCACGCCCATTTTAAGCTTTCTTCTTTCTTTGGCATGATGAAAATAATCTAATAAGGAAGTGAAAATTCGTCCAAATCGAGGAGAATGTCTCAACCGCTCACAATCTACCGAATGCCGTCTTATCCAAACAACAATTTTCTTTACAGACCCGTGAAGCTTTATCGAGTTCGCTTGACTTCTTCGAGCTCTAGAGCCTTCCACAGCGACAGCTCCGGCTAATCGTGATTTTCTTAAAGTTTTAGGTTTCATGAAGATGATTTTCTTTCTCCTTTGATGATGTTACATGACGTTTGCATTGAAAATCCGGGAAAAATTTCCTTGCATTTAATATCACAGCTGTCGCCATGATGTTTTGAAAACTGAAAGCCTCGTGTTGTGACGTCAACAAACATCTGGCATCCTGGTACCCAGGTTCCACTGGGTAGATTACGCTCGATGCAGTTCTAAGTTTGCTTCAATCTTCGTTTCGTAACCCCTAAATGTTCAGATAAACTAAATCTTCACAAAGTAATTATCGGTGCGAATGAAAAAGCTAAGAATTTCTCTATTCCTTTCTCGAACGAAAATAAAAGGGAAAAAGGGAAGAGAACACTTACTCTTCCTCATTAGGTTTTGCTGACACATCACAAATGATGCAATTCAGAACTTTGATAACTTTTCTTTTTCCTTTTTCTCATTGGAGCCACCAGTAGCTATTCAATGAAGAAAAATATTATCCTTAGTATCTTTTGAGCTTTCGCTCGAAAGTGTGTTTTTGCATTTTTGTCGTACTGCGTAAGAGGGCGTGTTGTATGTCTCGAAAACTAGAATATTCTACGTAGAAATTTGGATAGAAAATAAAATTACAAAAAATACATTATAACTAGGGTTAGATATCTGCTAAATTTTCAAGAAGGAAAGTTGAGATCGTTGAGGATCACTTTGATTGGACTCGATCTCCTTCTGTGGGACTTGTTTCCAATCTCCACAGATCCTTGCGTTGTGGCTAAACTAAATCTGAAGACAAAGCTTTGAAGGGGGAAGAAAGAAAGCCAGGTAAACTATTTCGTGGGCAACTTGAAAACACAAAGAAGGAGAGTGTTGTATCCCCCGCTGGCTTGATAGCTCAGTATGTTTGAGCAATACACTGGTATCAAAGGAAGATGAAATCGAATTTATTCCAGGCTCAATGCTTTCAAATTACACCTACCCTGTTACGTTGCCTGGCAACTAGTTTTAGGCGCAAACCAAAGAATACTACGCTTCCTTCATTCAGTTGAATTTTATTAGGTCTAGTTTGCCAATTTAAGTAAAAATTTAAGTTTGGGCTACTAAAATAATTCGAAATAGGTGAAGAAATGGCAAGCTTCAGCCGCGTCCGACAAGATCAAACGTCTGCAAGCCAACTCCGCAAACTGCAGCGACTAGGAGGCCATCCCTGCAAATCAAAAGAACAAAAATTAAAGTAACATAAGGTGGAATTTTGTCGCTATCTACGAACATAAAGGGGCCATTCAAAATGATCTCAATTACGGGAAAGCGGGAGGAGGAGGGAGGTGTTTGAAAAACGATCTTGTCCACAATGCGTTTTTCTCGTAGAATATGAAAAGCACTTTGAGGACGAAGTTAGGTACAAACTCTGACCGAGATTGCAAAGATTAGTTCTATCCTTAGCAACTCGGAAGAGGTCGTTATTAGAAAATGTCGTGCTTCCCTTCCATTTCCCACCATTCCCCGTCATTTCTTTCCATTTCCTTCCATTCCCTGCTCGTTGGACCTAGTTCGAAATTTAGATTTGAGAGAGTTGTTGTGTAGCTTCCATCAGGAATTGTTGCTTTTTTTTTCACTTTGAGAAAATTATTTTTGGGGTTCCTGATGATATGTTCTCGAATTCGATGTTTCTATAGTTGTCAAAATCTAAAGCGTTTTATTTGCTTGAAATTTTTAGCTTGTTCATCAGCGCAAGGTTCACACCGTGAGTGTTGTCTAACGATGGAGTTTATCTCTAATAGTCAAGCCTTTAGTGATTCAGATTGTTTATTACACTGTCAAATGTGGTAGGTGATGGAAGAAAACCCAAGGGGTAGGGGGTGGGGGTCAACTTACAGCGATTCTCTGAGAAAATTCCACGGAACATTACTCCAATTAAAGATAACGAGAAGATAAGGATTTCCGAGGATAAAAATCATTGCGTAAATTTCCAGAAAAAATAAAGATTAGGACAAATCCAATCTAAATATTCACGTATTGCAGTCAAGAGTACCTTTCGCCCCAGACTTCCAAGTCCTGGACATCGGCAACGTCCATGATTTCGGAGGCGCGCTGATGGAAAACTGAAGAACCCTTAAAAAAAATCGAAAGAATTTCACCAGTCGTGTGAACTGCAACAACCAACCCAAATTCGAGCCAAACAAGCCTTTACAATTTTCTGTGTCCAAAAGGACCAAAACCGCACGGATAAATTCCTGGATCGGACACGGCCATTAAAACGCGAGTTCCCTTGATACTTGCTACTTGCGAAAGGAAAACGCAAGATTAAGAACTTTGGTTCCAACTTAAACAAACCTGCGCTGAAACTTAAGTATTATCCAGATGCGACATACTTAAGAGAAACCGAGAGCAGTAATCAATAGACAGGTCATTCGTCCGCTGAGTGGAAGGCGTTTATTGTTCCGATTTCTTCGGTTTGAAGAAACAGCTCAAGGAGAGTGCCTTGTCCTGATTGATCCTTTTTAAACTGAGCTAAAAAAGATAAAGCTTACAGCGCATGCCAAGTCAGCGCACGAGCAAGATTACTCAGCTAAGTTACTACATACCTGCCCTGTATCTACGATCTCCCACAGAACGATTCTCTGATCTACAGATGACGAGATCGCAAATCCATCCTTCAAAGCCTTAACACCTAACAAAGAAACAAAGAACAAAGAAACATTGGAAGTTACTTGAAAAGCAATATCTACTAGGAAAAAAATCGATGCTCGCTACGAAACTCCATCCACCCTTTACACCCCAACGTCATTGTGCATATTATCCATACTGTTCTCTACAAATTTCTCATACAAGGCGCTGAGAATTTGTTTTACAATCAAGAGCTACTTTCGTTAGTGACCACTTCCTTTATTCCTATAACCTTAATGTGTAATTCTGGATGATATTGTGAGGAGAAATTAGATGCTGGTCACTCTTAGGAGTTAAAGAGATAAAAATTTGCCTTTTGTTCGTAAAGTTATTTAATAACCTAGGCTAGTTGACAGAGCGTCATACACTTTTGCAATATCGTTTTTAGCAAATCAGTTCATTCAATTCTTCTTCAATCCCAGCCGATTCCGTCCATATTCATTCAGTGCGTTTCTTTTTTTGAAAACGGGAAGTGTTTCATTTTAATCTTTTATTGCGTGGATCATGATGGTTAGACATCCTCGAATACTTAGTCTACACGACGACGTTCGTCAAGAACCTCACCCGAAGGAAAGGATCTAAAAATAAATTCAAGTGATCTACTATCAACCTCATTGCCAAGGTCTCTCTTTTCCTTTCTCGAGGTAGAAGAGAGAGGACCCTGAAAACGAGGTTGAGCCACTGTTACCTGTCACTGATGACGTATGAGCGGACGGTTCAGACACTTCACGGGTCACGTGAACCTTGGTGACGTCATTCTTGTTTTGCTTCAAGTTGAACTCTGCAGCGTAGAGTGCAGCATCATCCCCACCACTGACCAGTAAGTACTGTCCTGAAACTAAAATGGGTGCAACATTCACATAAAAGTTGGTGCGTCACGGTTTGAGAACCTTACAGATTGCTGAAGACAAAAAAAAATTTACGTTCGTCATATGCTTTTAGTCTTGATCTCCTCCTGCCCCAGCTATCTTTGTTCCATCTTGGTGTATTATTGCCACTTACGCGTTCTTCCATCTTACTAAGCTAATATTTTGTAGTCTCTTTCGAGGTAATTTTGCAAGGCGCATTATGACTCAGAATGCAGATATTGTAACACCCTTATAGCAAAAATTTCACAAAGAAGATTGCTATACTGCCGATGAGGTGAAATCTCTTCGATCTTTCCCATACAAGTTGCTTGACAATACCCATGGCGAAAATTAAGCGAGACATTTTCCCAAATGGCCGCGTTGTTTCTGTTTGGGTTATAACTGTGACAAAAATCGCCTCCGATGGGTTCTTACAAAGACCAATTTATACAAGGTTGCCCACATGTGATCCTTTCTCTCATCTTACCGTCATTTTTCACGAGCGAGATTGCATTTACACCGGATTGGTGCGCGTGAAACACGTGGGTAGGAAGACCGAGGAAGACTGGCACGAGAGGAAGACACGAGAAGTCACTTTGGCCCACTAATGTGGCATTCAACTCTTCACCATTTTGATCAGTTACACTAATTTGACCAGGCATCTCACTTCCGATAGAAATGAGATCATTTGAGATAGCTTCATGCAAAACCTCTTGTCCAAAGTTGACTGAATCTTGGTTCTGTGCTGAAGGACCGGTGTCAACGATTACGTTTGTTTCTTCAGTCTGCTGTTTGTTAGCAACTGTCACGCTTTCAGATACGTTACAATCAGTCACGCAATCCTCCAATACTCCTTCTTTCCAACTGCCGCGTGATGAAACGTAAATGTCCGTCGTCACACAACTTTCTAAGCTCAAAGCAGCCATTCTAGGTTGGGATGTATCATTCTTTTCTACAGAGACATGCCCGTCTAAAACCTGCTTTTCACCTTCATTATTATCGACAGTTTCTAGTTTGTTTTCCACTAATGAGTCCCCTGCAGTGCGCGTTTCCTTTTCTGAATTCATTGTATTTGTCATTATAGAGTCCTCCACATTCGTCAAGTCACAATGTTCCCTAATGTGGTTACATAACAATGAAGTGATGTCCCAACAAGAAATTTTTCCAGCTGTGTCTCCCGCAAACATCATAACTAGCGGACTACCGCTCGTACAAAAATCAATCACGTGACTGATTGTCAGCACACAGCGTTTCAGGTATAGGGACTGAGCCAGAAGTGAAAACCTGTTTCGTCGCTCATCAAAGCTAAAAATTCTGAAGGGAAAAGAGGTCAGTGTTTAAAGTCATTCACAAAATTATAAGAAGGAAGCAAAATCACTTTTCAACATACTTAATTGTAACCACATTTATCATTTTCCTTCTATCAAAATAAGAGGGTGCGGTTTAGGCAGGTTTTGCCCCTGCTTTTTATGAAGGTCGATTTTGCAGTGAGTTAACAAGGTACCTTTTTAATCTCTAACAAATCAAGTCTTTATAAAGGTAAAAAACAAACATCAGATAGGAAACAAAAAGAAAACAAACAAAACATTCAGCGAAAGAATTGACACAGCCCGGGCTGTAAACCAAAGATTCATTGAGGGACGTGAGTTGTCAGAAAAGGTGAATGAGTTAACCTCTGCAGCTTCATTCTCTCTGCTATCATTTTGGGTCTTTACGTGCCAATTATGAGGCCAATAACGCGTTATATCAGCGAATAATGCATCGGGTCAAACTTCAAACAGGGAAAAAAAAGGCGTAAATGACATTCTCATTGCAAAGAGTCCACTTACTAAAATAACACGCTGAACTCTTCTTATTTTAGGAGGAGTAGAGCGGAAAAAGGATCACACGCACCTGACAAACCCATCTGAGCACGCTGCCAAGACAAAATACAACGACTGACAGCTGTCCTTCAAATTTGCAGCACTCAATGACGTCAAAGACATAAACCTAATCTCTGAAAAGGACTGAGAATCGTGTTTCCTTCGTCTCCGCCGGTGATTACTGAAGCGAAACGAACATTCTCCGAGAAAAACCATAGGTGAAGACGTCATCTTATTCCCCCGGCGACTGTCATTGACGCGTGACAGATCCACGCGCCAGCATTTGAGTGAGGCACGTCCCCCGCCAGAAAAGAGAAGATGACAAGTCCTATCATTTGTGGGGTGACCGTTTATCTGTTCCTTTGGCTGTATGTTTGGCCTTGGGGATTTGGTGGCGCACAAGGCACGGACACTAGATATATGGCCATGGGCAGTGAAAATTGACGAGGTCATACCAGTGGAACGGTCAGCTGAGGGAAAGAGAGTTAAGGAAACAATCTATGAAAGAGAGTATCCAAAAATATCAAAGTTCCGTCACTCCCAATTACATTGAAATGAAGCAGATAACTGTCAGTTTTTCGACATTTTCTGACACCGTGACAGTCTCCGGTGACATCTTCAAAAAGGCAAACCTATTTGTTCGAAACGTCAGTTTCTTTAGAAACTTGCCCCCTTTATAATCTAATGAAATTCGATTAAAAGGGAGAGAACAATCACTGGGAGAAGTTTATTAAAAACTCGAGAAATTTTATTATTCAGGCTTCATGAATCTGAGTATGTAATGACAGTAATGTAACTATTCTCTCACTGCCATAATGGTGCTTTTATTGTATGTGGTACGTATCTATTGGTGAGCTAAAGAGGATAAACTTACAAAATCAATACTTTTTTTCGATGTGCCTCAATTTCAGTGGAAGATACTTTTTAACCCTATAGAAAAATTGGGTAAAATATGCTTGACCTCAATTAGTATTACTACTACAGAACTTTTTTAGCAGTTAAGTCCTTCTCTTTCCTCTAAATGGCCCTAAAAAAACTACTCTAACTGTTAAAAAACTGGATACAAATCATCAGCTGGATGTTGGTATCTTCGCTCCCTGTTACAAATACGTCGCTGATATCACCTGAAAAAGGAGCAAGTAAAACAGTTTAAGAAACACCTTCAACACCTTACCCATTAAAACCTAACACCAGTATGCATAGTCTCCATACTGTTCTCCTTACATTTCCTAGGGCGTCGAAAAGGAGAAATTATTTTACAATCAAGAGCTTCTTAAGTTCATGATCATTTCTTTTATTCTCGTGACCTTAATGTGTGATTTGAGGGTGATGTGGTAAGGAGAAATTACATGCTAATCACCGTTAGGGGTCAAAGGGTTGAGTAGAATTAATCATTTAACTTTGATAAACCTTCCAGTGCTGTTTAGTTTGCAATAAACACTAAAATAAGCACCACCCCCAGTCTAAGGCTTTAAGAATTTTGGAAGCTACCCCCTCCTATCCAAAGCATCACGTTTATACCCCTGTCTTCCAAGCCAACCTACTCCCTTTCTTTGTAAACAAAAGCTTTAACATATATTTGGTTTGGAAGAGTTTTGT